GAACCAACCTAACCCAACCTAACGTAATCTATCCCAACACAATGTAGGCACTGAGTATATATTGAGACCTTACATGACCTTGTTATATCCATAACCTCTAAATGTTTTCTGCAATGTCACTCAGATTCGTACAGTTCTTATGTATATGCGTGAGAAATAGTACTACGAATTACCTTGAAAAAGTTTAGACCTCTTATTCTCAAACGGTTTGTGTGAGCTTGTCGTGGTCTTGCCATATCATTGATCCATCCGTGACCTCATTTTAACATGAGTATAGTCAACCGGGTATTTACGGTTTGGGGGAAATAAGCGTGAAAATATATGATCTTGAGAATTTTAAATATCTGTATCTCGCAAACGTTTCGGATGATCTTGTTGTGACTACTATATGACCTTGAAATATACATTGCCTCATTTTGACATGAGTATGTCTAACCAGCTATTTACTGTTTAGCAGATATAAGCATGATAATATATGACCTTCAGAATTTTAAAGTCCCGTATCTGGGGAACTAGTGGTCCGATTTTGTCGTGACTTCCATATGACCTTGACTTATTTTTTTTAAGAAACTTGACGATATGTGAAGTTTTTTTAAAGTTGTGGATCAAAACGTACCGAGTTGAAGCCGTTAAAATAAGAAATCTATTTCTAAGTTCAGCCACCAGCTGATTTCACGAACTAAATATATTGCTGTTCACAGACGTGTTAAATACTGAAAAGAGGCAATTAGATTTTCATAATCTTATATAAAAAACAAACGTACTGTCAGTTTTTCAGTCGCTCACCCAATCTTACCGGAATATTTATGCCATCAAATATTAAATAGTTCTCTGTTACAAGTCAATTCACTTCACAGCTACTCCTGTCACATCCATTCACCCTATCAAACACACATTTATGTTTTCCATAATCATAAGCTCATATATTCCCCCAGTTATTCAATGCCTCTAGCCCACGCACTTTCATTAACCGATTTACCTACTCCTTCAGATAGCCACTCATCGTTTCATCTACGTCCACAAGCGCAGATTCATTATCACCTTGAGTAGTTGATCCTTGCCCATTTGTTCCCTTTTTTAATAACTCACCCACTCGTCTACTCCCCGAAGTACTCTTATTTAACCACTTACGCGATTCTCATCACCCAGTGCCGATGAATGTAGTCCATGAACTTCAGGATGTGCACTGACCTATTGACCCGGGCTCTACTGTTTATGTACTGGTACTTTTGAAACTGTGGGTAGGTGTGGGGATTAAAATCGTATGGGTACACAAGGGGCCGCACCATTAAACCTCGGTACAGAAGGAAATGATAGAATTGAAGAAGTCACAGAAAAGCAGGCGGATCAGGAGCGCCAACATCCCGCCGTAATTTTAATTAAAACTAAATCCCTTCCTGGTTGCAGTGTTTGCCTTCCCTGTCTGTGTCTAGAAGAGTGTAAACAAGATTAGTCAACAAAATTATTAATGAACCCCGTCTCTTTCAATCTTCTGATTTTATCAGGGAATTAAATAATTCCGATATCATCTCAGAGCGATTGTATAAATATCGCCTCCGTTGTTATCACGATAGCCAGGAGAGCATTGTAAATAGCCTGTCTATGGAGTAGACGGTCAGAGTTCATTTCTCAGCACATGTTTTTGGAAAATTGTTCTATCGAACCTTTTGGCCATTATCCAAATTATAAAACCACATCGTTTTTAAAGACGGGTGCAGAGTCCTACTTCCGAAACGTCATAGTTCTACCGTCGTCAGAAGCCTTCAAATTTTGATGCATGTTTCTTTTCGCTTCCACGTTCAGACCTGCTGTGGGGTCCACCCCGACTCCTTTCCCGTTGGTGCCAGGAGCTGTTTCAGCTGCGTAACGCAGGACAAGTTTCAAGTTAGCCACTCACTTTCTTCAGATACCGAGGTCTCCAATTCTTCGATATTTATCTCCACGCCTATTAGCCTCCACAGCTTGGTGCAAAGGCCCTCGAACAAGATGTCTTTAAGACACGAGGAAATGCAGACTGCTTCGTGTAGTCTGCCTTTACTTGTACAAAACAAGTTTAGCGTTCATTTCAATGTAATGTTTGTTCATAGTTTTTGAAGCTACGGTCGAAGTTAATTTTGATAAGCTAAAGGTCGCTCAACTAGTCTAGAAATTATCCAAATGTTTGTACCCAAATGTTCATTACGGTGTTTACAAGAGTTATAGCCACTTGTCCTTTTTCAAACGAGATGCACAATGTCACAAAAAGAACAATTTTGACATTGTATTCTCGTTTTGGCCAGGTATGTTAAGTGTTTCTTCTCTTTATGTTTTCTGACTAAAATATCTTATTAATTTTTCATCCCTCATGCGTGGTACATTCATCATAGTCTCAGTTTTCTACTGATAATTGCGTAATATTTTTGTGAAGAAAAATTGAACAAAGCCACGTATTCTCACCCCTCTGGGGTTATAATATTTGACCACAGTAGTCAATATTTCCTATTAAAAATTGATACAAAATAAATGCAGTTACATCATATGTTTATGAACACTATAACCACAGATTGTTCATTCGGTATTTTGTGATTATTGGAAAAGAATAATTGGAAACTGGAGATGAGGGGTTTTGTGAATACGTGCACACGTACGTCCTCCAACATCGGTTAAAGCAAATGTGTTCGCGAATGGCAACGGACACAAACACGCGGGTCGGGGTTCTCTTGTTTTTTCACCCACTTGTTCATTACGCATACAAAGCGGAGGGAGCAAAGGCTTGTTATTTCGTCGAAATAGAGTGACAAACGAGCGAGGGACGTCGCTTCGCGTGTCTCACTTCATTTAGACCAGCAAACCACGCCGACGGATTTCAGTCCCTCACGTTATTTATATGAAGTTGATAAACTGGACGCGTAATATGCGGGTCATATATGCTATTTCGTCCAAATCTTTAACTCGTATTTTATTTCCAGCCTCTAAAGATCCAAGATCTTAAAATAATGGCGTTTTATACATTTTTGCGTATTTTTTTTTGTTCCAGAATGAAATGTTTTTATCGCTAAAATAACTTTTCGCCCGTGCATGATTTTGGTCTAAATATGATTTAATTCTTTGGAGAATGAGGAAGAAAGAAAGATAGGAACGAGAGTAGAAGAGTAGAAGCAATGAGAAAAAATGTGTGGGAGAAAGATACAGATTTTTGTGAAGGAAGGAAAAGCATAATTTTATTGGCTTTTTTCACTTGTCCATGTGATAAGGACAGAACGAGCGCGAATTATTATTTAAAAATCTAGTTCCTTCCTAAAAGAAGGATACTTTTTCATTGCAAAGATCTATACGTTAATGCTCTTGAGGAAAATAATTCCTGTTTATGCTCATTCTTAGAATTATACTAAACTTAAAAGTTCGTGACGATGGTGAGTCATTTGAATAAAAATATCCAAGAAAATTTGTATTCATACTAAACTTACAAATGTATTCTGTGGCCAAAACACAGAAATGTCGACTGATAAAATAGGCTGTACGAGTAAGGAGATGGCTGTCTTCTGGGTTGGTGTGCCATGTAGTCTGGTAATAGTTTACCGACGTTTCAGAGGTCCTTGCTACCTCCATTATGAGGACATCGCTCTGATGATAGAGGCAGCAAGTGCCTAAATTCCAACCAAACTACATAGCCCACAAAACGGCCATTATCTCAGTTACCGCTGTGAGAACCTCAAAACGTACATGGTGATAAACCTTAGGGTTTCATACAAGACAGAAAGTTTCATGACTAGATGAACAACTGTAACTTGTCAAAAACGACTGTTCCATAGAGATGGTCTCATATGTTGTTTTCACGACGTTCTGTTTAAATCTGCCATGTTTTCTACTCTAACCACAAAGTACGTGCCTTCCACAGCTGGTGTGCATTTGTTTTCCACAAGTTTGGTTGTTTGAAGCGTGGTACTTAATGACACAGAATTACTGAACCTTCCTTCCCCACAGAGCGAGAGGCTAGACGTAGTACTCGAAAATCAATAATGTGAAGGAGCACTCATCATCAGGAAACGGCCTGACAGGTTCCAATTTATCCCTCATCACCTGATCTGTCAAGTAGTCCACTCATGGTAGATTCATCATTCTCTCTTGAGCACCTAAAAGTCGAAACAGAATGGCCTGTTCAAGCTTGACACATATCAAGAGTCTTACGTGCTAATATTCCATTCACTAAATTTAAGGTAGAGCAAAATTAATGCTGGTCACAGAAGTCTGAGGCGCCTACAGTTTTGGATGGGTCGAACACTAGAGTCTGAAGTCCACTAGGTTCACAGTTAGGCACTGTCTTTGTAGTTCTGAGTTGACACCTTGGGGACTTGTAGGTGATAACAAAATTTCTGAGAAATATTGAGTGCTGAACATGAACACATTTTTTCTGAAAAGTTGATATCTACCTACAAGTCCACATGACGTTACAACCCAGAAGAACATCATCGCTCTGATGATGGAGGCTGCAAGCATCTCTGAAACGTCGATAAACTTCTACCAGACTACACGGCGCACATCCCGGAAGACGGTGATCTTCACACTCGCCTTCGTGAGAACCTGAAATCTCTCGTTAATATACCGGTTTGGCCGAAATACATTTTTTGCATAGTAGCCTATACCGTTTGAGAAGGCACATCTGCTGAGTAAGGTCTAAAGTAGCCCTAACCAGAAGAAAAATTGGATTGGAGTAGGCACCAATGGCTTTCTCTCATGAACATGACAATTAATTATTGGGTTCTATATATGAAGAACTTATTGGTAAGGTGAGACACTATTAGCTTCTCAAGAAAGACTCTGCTTCGTGGAGATGTTTTTATTGTCAGCTTGATCTGAACTGTAGGATAACTAGGTCTAATGACAAGTATCATTATTATTGATTACAAGGCAAATAAAAGAATTTTATAGTTTCAGCGTGAACAGTGAATTAAGACGTAACCCTTCATCTTGGCGTGTCGTTGCTGCAAATAACATACGCAGATTTGTGGACTTTTTGGCAAAAACATTATACCCTTGTAGGACACCTTCTCGCTACGAGAAAGTGTTTCGAGTGATTACACGCATTTCGTTTAGTTTTTCTTTTTCTTGTTTCGTTTTTTTATGGTTGTATGTTCCCTGTGTTCTTATCTTCCAGTGCTGACTGCAATTGGCTCCTGTAGCTTTTCGAGAATAGAATTATTATTTTAACTAGCACCTTCGTGAAGGATGTCCTCTGAACATTAATAGCTCCTGGAAGCCCTTATTTGTCGATCCACGCCGTTACAGAAGTCTGCCAAGAACAGTTTCGCTCAGTATTAAAACACCAAAATGTGCATGTTATTCACATTGATGGGCATAAAATCTCTTTCGTAGCATTAAAAGCTTAGTTTTGCTTCTGTGCAGTGCGCACAGATATTACTAGCGACAGAGTTATCATGTATTTCATGTAGGTTATATCTCTTGAGAATCAATTCATGTGAATTAGAGGAACTGAATTCACTGCGTTAGGACGTTCTTCAGATTTCACCGCTGCCAAGACTGACTCTCGCTTCTTTGTAAAGAGGCAATAACGAGGGTTGCTAAGCTACTGAAAAACAGCTGAAAGCACAAGAAAAGCTCTGTGTAACAAAGGGAGTTGGAAAAAAGACCCTTGAGTCTGACGTAGAATGTGCTGAACTGAAACCAATTAAATGCGTTTTGTATTCTGGGAGGCCTTTAAAAGAACTCCTTCATATAGCGAGAATGTTTTATGCGAGGTTAAACTGTCTGCTGGGTTGGGTGCTAAGAAGGCCGCGAGTCTAATTATCTGTGACGGCTTTATTTAGAATTCATGGGCAATATATGATTTGCAAAAAATATTTAACGCAGAGATATTCAGATAATACTACTGTTTATAAATGTGTTATTTCTTGGTCTTATTATAAGAAGTATTTTGAATCATAATAATTTAGTAAATAAATATAAGTAAATACATGAGACAAAGTTTTACACCCATACAAAACAACAAGTAATATATCTTTATTTATTTTAATATTTACGTTAGTCGAACGTCTTTCAAAATATGTGTATATGACATGTCAAACAATATAACACGAAATTTCGAAGATAAAATTTAAAAAATGAATCGAATAGAAAATGCATCAACCATTCTTTACCCCAGAAAAAGGTTTTAAATGACCTTCTTTGCCTTAATCTACGCTACACTGAGTGCGATAGTGTATGTGCATTCATCTTACAGTTCACTGGTCCTGGCATTCCATTATTAGCCCTGTCAAAGCTTCTGTAACGGCGACCGCAGTGACGTGAAATCCATTCACCATATCCTATTTCTACCCGACACGGTTTGCTTTCTAACTAATCCATAACAATAATCTATCAACTATCATAATGTAGTTAACGTCAATATGTCTAGAATGGCGTTAATTCAGATTAACTTCCAATGCGGAATCAAACAAACCTAATTTTGTAGACTAACGCTTTTGCCAACTTGTGACATGAATGACATTGTATTAATGGTCTGTTATACATCAGCAGTGTGTTTCCGGCGGTCCACGGGCCGTGAGTGTTCCTCCTGGCTTTGCAATGTGAACTGCCGTAAAACTTCCACAACAAGTAATATATTGAAGAAGATGGTTGTCTTCTGGGTTGTAGAGCCGTGTGGTCTGGTAGAAGTTTACCAAACGTTTCAGAGGTCCTTGCTGCCTCCATTATCAGGGCGATGAGTCACTCAAGGACCCCTGAAACATTGGTAAACTCCTACCAGGCGCTACAATCCAAAAGACAGCCATCTTCCGTCTCCCCACAGTAAGAACCTCAAATCCTACTTAGCAGGCTTTTAGAGGTCCAATTGTAACAATAGAAATAAAACTAATACATCGGAATCTGTGTTAGATATTTTACACA